AAATAACTATTTAAAAATTTCCCAAGCTGTTTAAATTTGTATTATGTGCATATTTTACTTTTTCAAAAGGCTGTTGGAGTTTGTTGGGCTCAAGCTTCTGCCCACAGTTATTTTTACACGAGTCATGTGTATAAACAGACGAGTATGGAGATTTTGCATGTATTAGTTTATTTCCCACTTACATAGAGATATATGTAATTTCATATACCTATTTATATGGGCATAATGTACATAAAATTAATGTGGAACAGTGCATATATACTAGCTTTGCTGAGTCACATCCATGGAAACATAGTCAAATGATATTAATTTTCATTTGCACCTCTTGAAGGCCATCAAGGGAAACCCAGTCTATAACCCAAAGTGGCGTCTGAGAAGTCCCAGGGCTTTTCTTCTACTGACTCTAATTTCTGATCTATGTCCCCAAAGTATTAAACCCAAGATTGCTTTTGCTCTTTTCCCTTGGTCCCTTTTCCCAACTCAGCTCTTAATTATATAGAACAATTTCATATTCTCTCCCCATTATCCGTTCTTTGAATTCTCTGTAAAGAGGACAGCCAGCCGCTGACCCTGACAGCTAGAGGACATTCTGCTTAGAAGAGGGAAGGGCGGAGGTGAAGCTGGGGTTGGAGGAGGCGAAGATGAGACACAATCCTGCATTGGCTACTCTTTGAAAAGCTACAAGTTTGTAAATTTGGCCCCTGTTCTAGACACCATTTTGTCCATATTTATATTGTTTGTAGTGTTTGGTCTTTTGTGTGTGAATTTCCTTCACCTTCACAGAAACCTATGATATGGCCAAGCCACACAGAAACTAAGTCACTTCCCCAAGGTCCCACAACTAGTAAGAATGCAATGACCCAGCATGTGACTTTAGGAGTTTTCATTTAGCCACTTAGCATAGCTACCTGTCCTGTGAAAGAGTAGGATTTCCCCTTAGTTACTAGGATCTTAAACGCTTACTTTAAAAATAGCCTGATATGGTGGTGCATTTAACTCAGCACCATGAAGGAGGAGGAAGGCAAGCATATCGGAAATTCAATGCCAGCCTTGGTTAGACGAGAAAAAAATTGAAGGGTTAACAATCCGCCATTCTAGGTTTTCTACCTGCTTTGAATTATTGGTATAATAACTTGTCTGTTAATGGTTTGGGGCTCTCTCTGACGCTCTTGGAAGTAGCTGGGTTTGGAAGACATCTGTCCCCTTTCCTGCTTTCTCAGAAAGAAAGCTCATCTCCTTCAGGTGGGTAGATGCTTTTGTTCCCAATGACGGAAACACATTGATTTTTACAACGCACGAAGCTGAGAGCAAAGCACACATGGGAAACTGAGATTGAGCAGCAAGTGACAACTGTCCACTTAGCTGTGTGTGTGTTTGCAGGGGGTCACTTTCCTATGAATGAGGCTCGGAAGATAGAATGCAAATAGGAAGCCGGGATCAGCGCTTCTTGAAACTGGGCTTGCACAAGCTCTGTCTTAATCTGCTGCCTGTTCTGCCTGCTGTGTGTGAACTCCTTTATAGAGCAACAGGCGTGGCTGTCGCCTGGCTCCAGTACTGCTTCAGCTCTGTCTCCTGAGTCCACAGGGATGTCTCTTGTGGAGCACTGCGCATGCCCAAGCCTGGGCTGTGCTTAACAGTCCTCCCTGCAGTGCTAACCACTCAGATCCAGCACAGGGAAACACCTAGGTATCTTTCCTGACTACCTGACTAGATTCTTAAACTAGGACTGAGGAGCTGGAGAGAGAGAGAGAGAGAGAGAGAGAGAGAGAGAGAGAGAGAGAGAGAGAGAGAGAGAGACGGGGGGGGAGGGAGAGAGACAGAGAGACAGAGAGACAGAGAGAGACAGAGAGAGACAGAGAGAGAGAGCGCATTTGTTGTAGAGGATCCAGGGTCCAGTCCTCATCACTCACATGTGGTTCACAGCCATCCATGATTTCAGTTACAAGGGATCTGACGCCTTCTTCTGACCTCTGACCTCTGTATGTACCAGGCATGCATACGGCCCATGACATTTGTGCAGGCAAACATTCAGACACATAAAATAAAAATAGAGAAAAATGAACAAAAGATAAGAAAATTAGAATTGGGTATGACAGAAACCCAAGTTGAGCCCCGGAAGGGAGGTGAGAACTGGCATTGAGCACTAACAGAGCAGGAAACAAGACAGAAGACACTCAACAGCTTGTCTGCATTCACCTTCCTTCTTATTAGAAGGTCAGGCCTGTTGGGTGTCTGGCCTCCTAATCTCATTTTCCTGCTCAGCTGACTCTGTGCTGCCTGACTGAACACTGCTACCCAGATTTCTTCATGTCTAAGACTCTTCTGAGAAATGTTTTGCCAGGATTGCAACTTGTAGCAAAGTCAATATTTGTCACACCTTCCACACTGAACCTGAGATGAGGGGCAGGTTGAGCCTCGAAAGATAAACATGAAACTGCTCCTAGCATGTTGGGTCAGGATTCACCAGTGTTTACTTTGGAGATGGCGCCAAACAGAGGGGCCTGGGGAAGTACTGCCGGAGAAGACATCTTGGGTGTCAGCCAGTAACACCCACACCTACCGGTCACATGAGCAGGTGAGCCAGTTTTTCTGGGGAAATCCCTGATAATTTCCAGAGCTCTTCAGGAACCCCAAGTTGTCCTATTAAGGGGCAGGCTGAGAAGCGAGATAGAACAGCAGCCTTTAGAAGGCAGCTTCACTACTTTCTCAATGACTCTGCCTCTCATTTTTATTTTCTCCTTTGTTTTTGTTTTGAGACAAGGTTTTACACTGTAGCCCAGGGTGTTCCATGTAGTTTACACTGGCCTCAAATTCATGGCAACCCTTTGTTTTAGTCTCTGGAGTGCTGGGAATATAGAGTTGAACTTTAGATTCTCCTCTTTAGCTGTGTCTTCATCTGTCTAAATGAGCAACTTTCGTAGAGTTCGTGTAAGGATTGAAGGAGATGATTCCCGTTTAATACAAGGGCTAGCAGGTGTCACCAGTAAGCACCTGATGATGTAAGAGAAAACTAAGGAACAAAAGGTTCCAAGCATTGGTCTCTCTCTCCACCAGAGCAACCATGAAGATGGCAACACCTGTCAAAATTTATAGAATTCTGCCATGTATTCAAAAGAAAATGAACAAAATACCCAGATATCATGGCAAAGATGCCAACTTTTGTCATTTAACTAAATCTATAAGGTCACTAATTAACTGCCGAGGGATCAGGAAAGAAATTCAGGCTGCACAAGGAATGCAGTTTGCAGATATAAAGTCACCACAACCGGTGACAGCAAATGCCAGTTGTACACGTGAGAGAATCAGGTTTCCAGGGTCAACACATTGCAATATTCGGGATACTCACTTTTCGAAAAAAAATTACAAAAGATACAAAAGAACCGAAAGGTATGGTCAATTCAAAGGAAAAAGCAAGGTAGATGTTGTTCCCAAGAAAGCCCAGCCATTGGGCCTAAGAAGCAGAGACCTGAAGTCAACCATTAAATTACACAAAAAGTGGAAAAAGAAACAGTGACAAAAAAGCTAAAATCAGGGAAATTATTTCTGAACAGAGAATATTGGTGGGCAGAGAAGAATTATAATAAGAAAGCAAATAAAAATGTGGGAGCTAGCTGGGCGGTGGTGGCGCACGCCTTTAATCCCAGCACTCGGGAGGCAGAGGCAGGCGGATCTCTGTGAGTTCGAGGCCGGGCTGGACCGGCAGCCTCCAAAACAATACAGAGAAACCCTGTCTCGAAAAAAACAAAACAAAAAAAAATGTGGGAGCTAAAAAGCATAAGTGGTGAAATAAAAATTTCAAGGTTTAGCCGCAGACTGAAGAGGCAGGAGAACTGGTGATCACGATGTCGGGTCAGTTGAAATGACCTAATTTGGGGAGCTGGAAGAAAAAGAACAAAGAAAACGAGAGGTCTGTGGGATGCAAATGCACTGGCATACATATAGCTGGTGTTCCAGAAGGAGAAGAGGAAGCTGAAAGAACAAAGAAATAAGGGTTGAAAACTGCCAAAGTTGGTGAAAGACATGAGTGTCTGTCTCCACTCAGAAAACAAGGAGCTGCAGGAAATTCAGAGTGTACTGAGATGTGTTGTGATGACAACTACAACTGACTCCGAGTCACTGCTTCTGCCGAGAACGCATGGCACTGTCCCCATCACACACTCGCTGAAGCAGGGTGGCTTTCATTTTGCATCTCAGTCTTTTAAAGGACAGGGCCAACTCAGAGCTTCGTGATTAAGTGGGAAGCTATGCGTGTGGCGCAGTTCTGTATTTCTGTCTTGCCTTTTCTCATCTCTGTGACCGCTCTCCCCTGTCCTGCCTCCCTCCCATCTGCCGGGATCTTGCTATGTATTCCTGGCCATCCTTGAACTTACTCAGAGACCAGGCTGTCCCCACACTTACGAGCCCTCTGGCCTCTGCTTCCTGAGTGCTGGGTTACTGGGGAGTGCTGCCATGCCCAGCTGTAGTAGCTCTGTGACTAGGGCTGCTTTCTTCAATCTTCCTTCAAAATTGTATAGAACAATCAGGCAATTTTCAGGCTAGCACATTTTTTTGAAAGATTCATTTATTATGTATACAGTTTCCTGCCTACACGTATGCCTGCACGCCAGAAGAGGGCACGAGATCTTATCATAGATGGTTGTGAGCCACCATGTGGTTGCTGGGAATTGAACTCAGGACCTTTGGAAGAGCAGCCATCGCTCTTAACCTCTGAGCCATCTCTAAAGCCCCCAGGCTAGCACATTTTCGTGACACTTGTGAAAGCAGCTAATAGAAGAGAATAATGTTATGAAGGAATCTCTTCCTCTTGTAGGTTGGGTAGTTTTCTGTGAACTTGACCCAGGCCAAGGTCATCTAGGAAGAGAGAACTTAATATTGAGAAAACTGCCTCCACTAGATTGGCCTGTATGCTACAACTCTGTGGAACATTTTCTCGATTAATGATTGATGCGGGCAATGCCACCCTTGGGTAGGTGGCCTTGGAAGGTATAAGAAAGCAATTATTAAGGAAAACTTTATTTATTAACAGGCTTACTGCTGGAAATATTTTTTTCAGTTTTACATTGTACGATAAATATTACAAGTATTTTTTTTCTCATTTCTTGGTTGAAATTACCATCAAGGAAGAAGTAACCAGTTTTGACTAGTTACAAAACAAAACTGAGATAAATTAACCTTGTATCTGCCCTTGAAAACACACACATACACACACACACACACTATTTCAGTCATATTTTTCAAAACACAAACAAATTTGAGTAACACTTTGTTTAAAGCTTATCTTTCAATTTAACACATTCATTATTCTTGTTCAATGGATCGTTTATTTGACTTAGGGGGAAAAAAACCACGTATCCTGTTATTGGCTTCTTAGAGACACTTTTCATATACTTCTCTTCAAAACCTGCTATCTGGGCACAATGGGGATCTACTAATAGCCATGGGACTATCACTCATTTCTTTTTTTCCTTCAGTCACAGACATTCTTTGTAACCTGAGTAGATTTGGCCAGAAATCTGAAATCATCTTGAAAGCAAAGAAGGATCCCTCTCTCCACCACAAACCCAAGAGGCTCATGGGAATCCTTTGGCAATAAACAGAAGTTCAGACTGACTGTCAGCATGTAAAACTGAGAGTCAGAATTAGGTTGGCCTAAGTATTTACAAAAAGCAGACTTTGTGCCCTGAAAGATACAGATCCAGGCAAACGTTTTTGTCCCTTAAAGAGTGTCACAGGTCTGTGATCAGAGGTGGTGGAGTTGTACCCTGAGAACATAAAACCTTCATTCACACATGTTTAAGCATTGGCCTGGAATTAGCTTTTGGAGGATGCTTTGTAGATTGGAGATTTGCTCTAGAAGAGGAGTTTGCTGATGAGAAAAACAAGCAGGATGTGGAGGGCACCTGCGAGGGGGCTGCCGAGAGCATTGACAGCCAGGCTTTTGGCTGTGGTCTTGGCTGTGGTCATGGCTGTGGTCTTGACTGTGGTCTTGGCTGTGGTCTTGGCTGTGGTCTTGGCTGTGGTCATGGCTGGAGTCTTGGCTGTGGTCATGGCTGGGGTCTTGTCTGTAGTCATGGTTGTGGTTTGGTTGGTCTCTGAAATCTCAGGGGTAGGCCTCAAGGGTGTAGATGTTTCTGGGGAGAAACAAAAATCAAAGAAGCAATGTTATTAGACCTTTGCTGGGGGGTGGGTAGGCACTAGAAAAAGGCTGGCAAGATGGCCCAGTTGGTAAAGGCACTTGTCATGAGTTCAATTTCATGTAAAGGTAGAAGAAGAGAAGTGATCTTAAATTGTTATCCTCTGACCTTCACACACAAGTTGCATGCATATACACACAATAATAATACATGTTTTTTCAAGACAGTAAAGCCAGAGATCATGAGCAAAACCAATCAATATTCCTCCAGTACCATGTGGGGGAGGGAGCTAGAAGGTTCAGACTGTGAAATAACAAAAATAGTTAAGTCTTATGGACACCCCCATGGAGGGCCTCACCCTCCCTGGGGAAATGAGGGGATAACGGGGGGGGGGGTTGGGGGAGGGCACGGGAGGAGGGGAGGGAATGGGAGAGGGACCTGGAACTGACTTGTGAAGCAACCTCGTTTCTTATCTAAATTTAAACTGGAAAAAAAAAGAAGAAAAATGAGGAAACATAAAAATAAATGAAAAAGGTAACAAAATGATAAAAAAATCTTGTTCTCAAATAGAAAATAAAAAAGATGAAAGGAAAACTAATAACCAAGTGGCAAGATAAAAAAAATAGTTAAGTCTTGATCCTTAAGGTCTGCATGGTCTTTTCTCCTTCATTTTACTTTGCTTATCTGCTTTTTAAATGTGCATATTTGTTTTGTCTGCATGTACATATGTGTCAGGTTTCCTAGGGCTGGAGTCACAGATAATTGTGAGGGTTATGTGGGTGCTGGAAATTGAGCCTGGGTCTTCTGGGACAGCATCCAGTGTTTTTAATTGCTGAGATGAGTCATCTCTCCAGCACCCACGTAGTCTGTTGAGATGAGAAGACCCACAGAATTTATGAAACATGAATTTGTCATTGGATAGATAGTGTTCCATCAAATATCTTCATACTCTTAACTCTAGTGAAAACATGACCCAATGTAGTATAATTATAATTTTCTTACTAATCCCAAGACCTTGTGAGAACTCAGTGTCATGTAGAACCAAAAACAGTGACCTCTGCCTTAATGTTAGTGGGAGATATCTTATCTAGATAGGTATATAGAGATACCCTATCTAAATCCTTGACTGTTTCTTGGGCTTGCACAGACCATTTTCTCTTGTAGATTCAGGCCAGACACTGGTTCTCAGCCATTATCTATTAGAGAAGCAAAGAGAACCAGGCCTCCACTCCCAGGGACTTATCTGATACCAGGAAATCTGGTTCTTGGAGCTCAGACTTTCAAGGGTGTCTCAACCTGAGCTGGGAGTGGGGTCTATAACCCCAGCGCTGGATAGAAGGACAATTTCAGGGGAGGCAGAGACAGGAGGATTGTTGGGACTTGTTGGCCAACAGCATAACTGAAAATAGGAAGCTGTAGGCTCAGTGAGAGCCCCTATCTTTAGTCATAAGAAAGACAGCCTAGAGGAAGGTACAGGGTGTCTTCCTTTGTCCTCCCCATGTGTGTACACCTGCTTGTGCATGCTCCTGCTCTCTCTCTCTCTCTCCTCTCTCTCTCTCTCTCTCTTTCTCTCTCTCTCTCTCTCTCTCTCACTTTCTTCTCCTTTAAAATGTGGCAACAAGAAAAGAAGAAAAATGTCCCAGGCCCAGGCATCCTTCTGCCTGCTTGGGAGATGCCCTCCTGCTCTGAGACAGTGTCTTTCTTTCTCTTCAGATTTTCTTTAGGACAACTGTTTCTCTGGCAGTCTATGAGCCAGGGAGCAGAGCACAGCCACGTTCTTCCCCTTCTCTTTCATTCTCTTGTTTGGTTTGAGACAAGAGTCTTATTCTGTAAATCCCAGGTTGGCCTTGAAATTGTGACCATCAGGCCTTAGCCTTAGCTCCTAACTGCTTAGGAACACAGGTGCACACTACCACTCTGGGCTTTTCCTCTGATTTTTAGACTGTATTTTGTTAGGACAGAGCTAAGGGGTCCTGACTAGAAATAAACATTTCCTGCTCTATTAGCATTTCTGCAAGTGTTTTTCTCGAAAATGTCCTTGAGGGAAAAAAATAACCTCACAGAGGGCCCCACCAAGGAAACAGTGAAGACTGTCACATAATAGTTTGATTAGGCATGTTAAAACTTGTTGTTGGAAATAATTATTCCATTGGTGCATTTTGTAGTAGATAACTTACAGGAAAACCAGCAACATACTGCCTGTCTTTCCATGCTCTGAGACTCATGAGGAAGGCTTGTTATTTGGTCATTGAGAGAAACTAATGGTTCTTATTTCTCTCTTTCCTCTCTCTCTCTCTCTCTCTCTCTCTCTCTCTCTCTCTCTCTCTCTCTCTCTCTCTCTCTCTCTCTCTCTCTCTCTCTCTCTCTCTCTCTCTCTCTGTCTTTCCCCCATGCTGGTTTTGAACCCAAGGCCTCACACATGCTCTTGGCTACATCTTACATTAAAAAGCTGCATTAAAATGATCTCGTTAGTTTTAACGAAAGTCTAAGGAAAGTAGAAAGACATGTAAGATGCCAACTTGGAGTCCTCGCTCTGCTCTGGACATTCTCTGTGTCCTTAGGTTAGGTTGACTATCCTTTCTGAAGCTCAGTTTGGAGTGCTTTTAGCTTCTTACAGAGAAACAGGAGAGAAGGGAATCAGAACGGATGGATGAGGAGCCCGGGGAAAGTGTGAGTCTGGGGTCTGTACCCTGGGGAATGCTGGCGGAAGTGCCTGGTGGTGGTGAGAGTGACTGAGGCTGTTGGGAACTCAGGAAAGACCTGGGGAATGGCTTAGTCAGTGAAGTTCTTTGCTCAGTTGTGAGGCCTGAGTTTGATCTCCCCAAAACCCCAAATTCCAGGTGTGGTGGCACATGTTTGAAATCAGCACCACAGCGGCCAAGAAGGCAGATCCCTGGAATCACTGGCCAACCATCCTACTTTTAAGTCCCAGACCTTGTGTCATAAAACAAGGTGAGGTTGACCACTGACCGCCACAAGCTTGAATCCATGTATATGCACAAGCATGTGTGCCTGCCTGTACATGCTGGTGCTCACACACAGACACATACATACACAGACACACAGATACACAGACCTACAAACAGACACAGACAGACAGACAGACAGACAGACACACAGACAGACAGACACACAGACACACAGACACACACACACACACGGAATAAGAAGAAAACTCATGAAAGGGTCAGGATGCAGGTTAGGGATCATGTGCTTTCTTGGTTTGTGTCAAGGTACTAAGGTCAATTTACCCTTTGCAAAAGAAAAAAAGCAAAAAACAAGCTAACAAGAACTCATGACATTATTGACATTTCTGTGATACCAGTTCTTTTTGTATAACTAGTACTCTCCATCCCCCACTCTGCAAAATTCCCTTGAAAACTTTTTGGTTAAAGTTGACCCCGTGAAAGCCTTGTGTGAATGGGTTTCAGGTTCTGAGTGGAAGCTGAGAGTCATGTTGCTTTTTCATATTGGTGCCTAGCTAGTGCTGAACAGAAATAGTCCCCATTGAAGCAGGGGTTTGGAGACACAGGTGACCATGGAGATTTCTGAGAAGCTGCACAAATCTTGGAGAGGGCATTTGTTTTCCATATGGCATAAAACAAAAGATTGGGAAAAATCTCACACTAGGTTCTAGGATGGTAGGGAACTCGGCTGATAGGTAGGTAAAATAATTTTCCAGACTGCTTGAGTTTACTGGCAAATAAGTACACAAAGAGTTTGCAACAGAACTTACGTGGCTCTCCCAGGTTCACAGATGTCACTGCAGCTGTTCCATTGCCGATAGCCATCAAGACACTGCAGGGCAAATCAGGAAGAAAAATGGTCAGGGTCTTATCTGTGGAACGCACAAGCTATGTCTTAGCCTTTTGGGACCACCCTTTCCCATTAATCCTCTTGAACTTCTTATATGGCACAATAAGCTGATCATTAAATATTGACCTAGTTCATATTGACTAGTCTTAACTCCAAACAGCTCTCTCGTCTCCCATCCCCACTAGCTTCATCATTAGGAACCCCCCACAGGCTGGCACACATCTTTGTCCCTTGTTCAAGAGAGTCTCTTTGCCCGAAATACCTTCCCTGGTAATAATATCTGTCCAGAAACTCAACGATATCCTTCAAGTCCAGTCTCCCTGTGGCTAACCCTGACAGATCTTTTGTTACATTGAATTGCTATGGGCTTCTCTACTCACTAGAGGGCTGACTTCGGAAGGGCAGGCTCTGTTTTGAATAATGCCTGACACACTGTAGGTATTTAGTGTTCATGAAATGATCCACAGATCTCATTCTGTTGTCATTAACATTATAACATTAGCCCCTCGTCTATACATCCAGCAAGTCACTCATGAAAGGACACAGTCTGAATGCCAGTCCCTGAGTCTGGTGTGAGTGGACAGCAGCAAACAGTGAATATCCAGATAATTAGTAAGGAGTCAGTTGCGGTTGTGATGTGGGTGACGAAGCAGAGGAAGGCTGGAGAGTGTGTAGCAGAGCTCTTTCTGAATCTACATGTTCAGGGAAAGCAGAGGAAACATTTCACCTCATTCTTATATGTGTGTGGGTCCTGTTTCCCAAGTTCATTGTAAATCCTACAGGCCAAGACCTCTGATATCCCTTTTGCAACCTACTCAGCACAATGGTGTTCCTTCTGTCTCCCTCCCCTTGAGTCAGCCTTACTGACCAAGACCATGAGTGTACACATTATGAATAAGCAGAGAGATTAGTGTAGCATAGTAAACGTGCAAGTGAGGATGGAGGTTGCACTGTTGGTGGGATTGTGCTGTTTCTCCTGCAGATTGCTGTTGCTGTGTCATTGCAGACTGTACCTGCTAGTACATCAAGTGTGGTCAACATCCTTATTCTAAGTAAAACTAGCTGGCTTCTAAGCAACTGTTGCCATGGTAGGGTTGGTAGTAGTGGTTCCCTCTGGATTCTGCTTTTGTTTATCACTCTATGGGTGTGATGGTTCCTCCTCTAAAGCCAATGAAGCCTGGCTAGGTCCAGAGTGTGGCAAGAGAGGGAAGAATGGCTTGACAGCATCACCAGGTCCCACAGAGACAAGGATGCTATAGTGGACACGGCATGCCAGGGTAACTTTCAGGAGCATTAAGTTCTTCGAACACTTGGTTTCTAAAGTCAGTGTAGTATCAGACCCTCAGAGTGAGAGGCATCTGTTGTGGAAGAATAATGCCAGCCTCTAGGTGGTCTCTTCTCAGAACCTCAGGGCATCCATTTATTATGACAGAAGGAAATTACTGTGTGTACTCATTGTCACATTTCCTCTTAGCTATGTTTTACAGATGATTCTCCACTAGATTTACATATATACTGTGTGTGTGTGTATGTGTGTGTGTGTGTGTGTGTGTGTGTGTGTGTGTGTGCGTGTGTGTTTGCATGAAAAGTACAACAAAGGAAGGCGAGGTAAATAAGAAATGCCGCTGCTGGGTTCTCCATTCTCACCCATAGTCTAGTTTTAGTCTTAGGTTAATGTGAAACTGTATAACCTGTTATAAAAATTGAAACACCCAAAGTAAAATAGAACCAATCCTTACTGCAGGTTGACTTTAGTTATATCCTCAGAATTAGGAACTATCCACGTTGCCTGGAAGTCAGAGTTGTCTGAGGGTGTCACGCGATATAGGACACTGCTGTCATTGCATTCCTGAGTTGCTCCAACCCAGGTACCCACGGGTTTGTTGTCCTGGTTCACTGCTTTCAGAATCACGACACTGACGGAGCTGTTCACATGAACCCACACTAGGAGAAAAGGACCAGGAAGCAGTTAGTGTGAGTCAAGCAGAACCAAAACGAAGTGTGAACATAGGAAGTCCCGAGTGTGGACAGCATGGTCCTGCTGCTGTAAAAGAAACTGAAGACCTAGATGGAAGAAAGTACAAAGATAGCACCTGGGAACCAACCCAGTGTGTCACACACCTGTGGTTCCAGCACTTGGGAGGTGGGGATGGAGGCTCATGAGCTCATGAGTTCAGTGTCCTCTTCAGCTGTGAAGACGTTTAAAGCCAGCCTGGGCTTCAGATGATTTTAATATTCTTCTTCATGCTTGTATTTTATTTTCCAAATAGTCTACAGTGAAAGGAGGTGGAGTCCGATCACCCTCTGGCCCTGGTTCTGCTACATGCTAGTGGGCAGATTCTAAGAGCACATAGCTTAACCTCTCCTCAAAGGTAGGTACCCCTGAAAAAGTTAGTACGTATCCTAGGAAGTGCTTCATGTATATGGAAGAGTAGAGCCTTGCTCCTGACCCCAGAACGACTGCTCTGTTGTTGAAGGTGGGGATGGGGTAGGATGGCGGTTGGGGTAGATGTGTGGCACTGAGGTCTGAGCCAGAGTCCTGATCCAAGGACCAATCAAATAACCCCTTAGGGGTCTTCTCTACCCAGCTGAGGTCTGTGACCCAGCCATCTGCCCATACAGGGACCTTGTAGACCTTTGTTAATTTCAACCTGAGGATATTTCATTTTCTCTGGTTTTCTACCCTAGAAGAGCCTGCATGAGTAAATGCTTCAACACTGGGGTGTTTCAAGTCATCTGAAACTCCTCCACAAAGCAAAGCAAGGACTCATGTAGCATAGCAGTCTGACAGTCATGGGTCTTCATCCTGGGTCTAGTACTTAGGAGCAAGACAAATCATCTGTGGGCCTTGGTTTCTTCTTGCTCAGTGGTCACTGTACACAGTTTTTTTTTAAACAGGACCTCATCCCAAGCTGGACTCAGGTGTAGCTGAGGATGACCTTGAACTTCTGATTCTCCTGCTGCTATGTCTTGTGTACAGGTGTGTGCTGTCATGGCTAGTTTATTAGATATCAGAAGTTGATATATACTAGCAAGTACTATACTGATTAACTATATACCTACCCTCTACACCTTTTTTTTGTAAGTTCCCACTTTGTTGCTATGGGTCTGGAGAACAATGATATTATCCCTCATCGTCTGGGATAATGCTACTTGTCAGTAAAGGTTCCTGAGAGGACTGAAGATGCTAACATGTGGTTCATATTGGACGAATTGTGAATGTTATTACTAGCTATATGTCAGCACATTATATTTCATTGGCCTAGTTGCTTGCCAAGAAGGTCAGCTGACCCAAATCCCATAAGCGCTGACTCACGAAGAGAGGTGCTGACTTTTGTCCTACATTTTTGCTTCTTGGTGGGGTAGGTGATGCACAGCAGTGTCATTTAGATAGACAGTCATCAATCCTCTTAGCTCTCCAAGGATGTTTTCTTGACTCTTCCTTTCCCTGCTTTTTCTCTTTCGCTGTGGGTTTAAGCCTTCTTTCCTTTCTTCCTAAACACAGGCATTCTGTGGAATTGTGACCTCAGTCTCTCCCTCAGGGGTGACCAGACCAGACTTCCTCACAGAACCTGTCAAGTGGGAAGTGCGCCCTCCTATCTAGAGAATCTAAACATTTCTGCTTTCCCATTCCTGCCTCTTCCTCGTCAGTGACAGTGACGGTGTTCAGGACCCCAAGAGCCTAGCCTCCCTCTTTGGTCCACATTCCACTCTAGGGACGACAGCCGGCTCCCCTCCCCCACCCCTCCCCCCATCCCCAGCTGCTTGGCAGCTGCACCTGGCTCCTGTCAGACCCGCACCTGGGCCTGGTGTTTGTTCGTGTCTGGAGCCTTCCTTTTTTTACTATCATTCACCCCGTCCCCACTTAGGCACCCAGATCTTGCTCACTTCCCTCCTCGGGACTAACTTAGCCCTCTTTTCCCCTCAGACCTGAGACATTGACACTCTGCTTAGAGGCTTTTATATACTTTAAATTGTATTTTATGGTTTTATTGGTGTCGGTATCTGGGCAGCCCAGTGTTTCGCATGAAACAACTACTTTTGATTGATCCTAAAGGCATGCATCAGGCAGTTGTGGATGTAAGCTTAAGGGCAAAGTACTTGTCCAGCACTTCTGAGGGCTTGGATTCTATCTCTAGCACTTCAAAAAATCCTCTATTCAATGGAGGACAATGCCCTTAAAGCTGGAAAGTTCAGGAAGTAATAAATTACATCCTTCTTGTCTGTAGAAGTGAGCAATGAGGCAGAGGATGGCCTAGTATAGTCGTAATGTAAATAGTGCAGGCTTCTTCCCTGAACAGGTCCTGGGAAGGTGCTCTGAGGTGTTGGCTACACTGAAGATGTCTCTAGGGGTCTGCCAAGCCATTTGCATACGGCTCACCAAGGCTCACACAATGCTGCAGTGAAAAAAGATTTCAAGTCAACACGAGCAGGCGGCTGACCTGGAGTTTATTCCAGGTCTCAGAAGGTCTGAGTCCCGGCCAGGCCAAGGCATTCTACAACGGCCTTGGTAAATGTTCTTTGTAACTGTAGGTGCGGAATTCAGCCTCTCATCCCCAAGGACAGAGGATTTGTGACCCTCAATTTAAAGTATGAGTCAGAGCTACCTCAGAGCTCGCACACGGTCTGGTTTGAAATGGAATCTGATGAAGAGCAAAGCAGGTCTAAGCATTCAAGGAAGTGGAGGTCTTTTCCCTTTCCCGAGGCTACAGGAACTGTGGTGGCTGCCCTTCCCCCTTCTCCCCATTGTCTTGTGGTTTCTCCTCCTTCCTCCCTCTACTCAGAAAGGCTCCCACGTTTTCATCTATCTTCCCTCAGTAGACTTCTTGTTCTCCCATTTCTGCAGCAGACCTGCCTGTCTCCTGATGTGCCATTTTACATCAGAGGCCTGTAGTCCAGTTATGAATTCACACACACACACACACACACACACACACACACACACACACACACACACACACACACACACACCTAGTGTCCATCTTGAATTACAGACCTATCTTCCCTGTTCTGGTATGAGAAGACCCACTTCTCCAGGGAGCAGGGCACAGTCCTATTACAGCAGGAGCGCTTGCTTAGGGACAGCCCCCAAGAAACATAAGGGAGACAAGCAGGACACCCTTGGTTAGGAAGGCAGGGCATGGTGGTTCACCTTCGAGGTTGGTTACAGAGTACAGCCATGACCGAGGTGGTCTCTGCAAGATTTGCTTGGATTTTTTTTTTAAGAGAGGAAGGGCGACATACGTGTTAAGAAGGGTGGCTCTTGGCTGCGTTCCTTAGGATCAAATATTAGTTCTGTTACAGTCTAGTGACCTTGGTAAGATTTTGACTTCTATATGCCTCCTTTTCTCCCCCGTGACATGGAGATTAATAATTGAATTTTCCCTTAGAGCAACATGTAGCACAGGGTAAGACTTAGCATTATAACGCGGCTGTAATTCAGATCCACTGTTTCATAGCTCTGTGACTGGAGCACGGCACCCATCGTCAGTGTCTGTCTGCTCATCGGCAAACCAGGGATATCAATGGATATGCCTAGTGGGTCAGGATGGGGACTAAACATTTTCCTCTATGAAGCACCGGTGTTGCTGCTGTTACAAGACTAGGCCGAGGGGCAGGTGGGAGGGCTCAGTGGGTAAGGCGCTTGCTGTGAAACCTGGTGACCAGCGTTTGAGCCTCAGAACCCACGTGATAGTTAGTGGAAGGGGAGAAACAACACCACAGAGTTCTCTTCTGACCTTCACATGAGTGCCAGGGCATGTGTACGACTGTGTACACACATACACTCATCCTGAGAGAGCACACGCTATAACAATAAAAAAATCTAAAAAATAAATTGAACATTAAAAAAAAGAATAAGTAAAGCTAGGTAGAAACCATTTCCCTTGACTAATAGGCTTGACTAATTAGAATGCTTGCTCTTTAACTTGTAGGTTTATTGAATCCCGAAAGGGATTATGAAATACTTCCAGATATCTCTAAGAAAAACATTAGATTAAGATTGAATAGCCAAGGGTCAGGGAGCGTCTGCCACTTGTGGCAATGAGTCCCCAGCAAGTCAATTAACATCTCTGCACTCTGGCTCCTCACGTATAAGGTGGGCTACTGATGTTTTCCTCTAGCTCACAAGGTCTTTCCTGTGCACTAAATACAGACTATCCTTGCTGGTGTCCTGCAGGGTGTAATCATTTTGTCAAGACCACAATGAAATCCCTCAAAATAACACAATACCCCTTTAACACAGCCATATGTTTGCCCAGGTGTGATCTGGCCAGGGCCCAGTTAACCTGTGCTGTGGGGCTTTATACCACCCTGGATTCAGTTATGGACAGGAAACTGCAGAAATAGTTCTTCCAATCCACTCGCATTTCCTAACCAGCCCTCCTCATTTCCCGCCCTGTTCCCACACACATTGAGAGCAGGATGGAGGGGTTTGTTCAGAGAACAAAAGACAGCAGAGTGAATGGCTTCGACTCACCTGTGTAGGTTATGTTCTCACCAGAACCCTCGGCTGTAATGTTGACTCTCAAGTTGGTGGTGGAGATTGTATCAAAGACCGTGCAGGGGTCATTATAACTTGCAGACAAGGCAGGAGAAAAGCACAGAGCCAGGCACAGGAACAGCCCCAGCTGAGGCAGCAAGGAACGGAGCACAGCCATGGTCCTGGGTGGCTTGCTGGCTGGGTCCGGCAGTAAGTAGTAAGACAGAGCAGGAGTCCTGACTCTCCAGTTTATATGCTGTGGGGCCGGAGCTTCTGGGTGAGGTCATGTATGCAAATCTCCCCCCTCCCTCCTGAAATTACTGCCTTCTGGAATTTGGCCCAAGACATCACCAGGAATGAATCACCAGCCTCCACGTTTGTGTCAGCAGCAATACTTGACCAATTCCAGTTCTGCTCAAGAAGAGGACTAGACAAACTCTTGTGCATGTCCCTCACCTCAGCACATGACAGCTGAAGCAGTAGAGAGGTGGTAAGCTTTGAAGTGAGGTCCACAGTTGAGTAATTATCATGTAGGTGATCTGTTTGGAAGCTCTACGTTTCTCTGCAGAAACTCAGGCATGGGTGCCCTTTTTACCTCAGAACACTGCATAGACTTTCCTGATGCTCCTCCAATTTCCAGTTCATCTTAAGACCAGCCTAGAGCTGGAAAGACTGTCTAGATATTTGCTTACTGCCTCTGCTTCCTAAATGCTGGGATTAAAAGGTCTGTATGACCACACCCAAGATTTATTTTATTTTTAATTACATGTTTATGTGAGTGCCTGTGGGTCTGTGCATATAAGTGCAGTTACCGTGGGAGGTTAGAGGTCTCAGATCTCCTGGAACTGGAGTTACAGGCAGTTATAAGATGGGTTCTGGGCATGGACTGCCCTTCCATTGCAAGAGCAGTATGAGCTCTTAACCACCAAATCATTACTGCAGCCCAGAGCCTTGGATTTCCTCATGCTTCAGCATTCCACGTTTTGGGATTACGGGGTGCACAATCACACCCAGTTTATATGGAATCCAGAGCTCCTTGCAGGCTAGGCAGACACTCTACCAACCCAGGCACATCCCTTGTATTTTTATTTATTTGTTTGGAAAGAAACAGATTAGGCCCACATTGCTCCTGAAACTTCCTTCAACAGTGCCAGAGCAGAGGGAAATTATTTGTAAAAGTTGGAAATTTTTTTCATAGCCCCAGCGCCCCCCTAAAATTTTGTTATTTATTCACTGAAAGAAATGAGGGAGAAGTAGATTACTTTGTGAGTAGAAAGGGAATAAAACTACTGTTGAATAAGGCAACAGTTTAAAAATTTTCAGTTAGTTAATTTGTGTATGCACCCCCTTCCCCCTGTATGTAGGTCCTAGGAGGATTTGTGGGATCTGTTTTTTCTTTCCACCATGTGGGTTCTGGGTCTGGAATGAGGCCGTCAAACTTGGTGGCCATCACCCTTTACCTGCTGAAGCATCTAACAGGACCTGAGCCACAATAACAGTTTTAGGTGTTTCTGATAGAACCAGGGTCTTGGGGTGAGGACCTCCAAAACACCTGTTCAACATCAGCGGTTAGAATATTGTCAATAATGGTCAAAATCTGCTTTTTACGAATCTCTAGAAATTAACCATCTGGAAACAAGTATTTAAAGAAAAAGAGTAGCTGAATGTCATTGAAAACAGTGATGCTGAGGCATTTTAGCTTGTCTGGACCCACTCTCTAACCTCATCCCCAGGGTGGCCACAGAAATTCACATTTTACTATGATGATTGTGGAGACGAGAAAACTAGTAGCTGATGGAAAGAGTCAGCATGGAATTAGAGTCTTCCAAAACAGTCGAATCTCTGGTGCGATTATTGTCTGTATGGCCTCTCTGGAATCTGCTTGTAAAATTGCGTTCTTAAAAATTATTTTGGCTGGATTTTTGGGAAGCTAAGCTGTTTGGGCGTGGTTCTGCACGTGACTAGGAAAGGACCAGAAAACCCCTCTCACCTTTGACACATGTTGAGACTCTCACAAACAGGAAGAGAAGGCTAAGGTTAGAGTCATAAAATGGTCCAGCTGGCCACAGAAGCCTTGCCCCAAATGTAGAGGAAGATAGGGCATTCAGTGAAGCCTGAGGCCATTCTTGGTTAAAATACTGAAGGAAATTTCTGTCTGCTCATGAGTTGGCCAGCAGGTTAATTAACTGGAGACTTGGGGTCAGGCATGCTAAGGATCCAGACTGTACAGATCAATTCAAGAAACTCAGGAACCAATAACAACAACGGCAGCAACAGACAACAGCTGCAGGAAGAGGGAGGGAGTCGAGGACCAGAGCTGCCACATCATAGTTTTTGAATGTCCAGTCTTCAACAAAGAGTTACAAGATGGGGGGCAGGGAGTGTAGCTTCACTGATAGAACACATGCCTAACATATATGAGACCTTGAGTTCGATTCCCAGCACTGAAAAACAAACAAGCAAGCAGAACTACAGTACATATAACAAAAACAAAACCCCAAAATATGGCACATAAAAAAGGAAAAATTTGCTCAGTAAACTGAAACTGTAATTGAGGGAATCCCATTATTATATTTAGTAGATAATATATTACTATATTGAAAGAATTAGGTACATAAAAGGAAGGTACATAAAATTGTGTCTCATCAAAGAGTAACTATAAAGAAACAGATTTTTAAAAAAAAATAGAGAACCCAAAAGAAGTCCTGCAGTTAAAAATCCCAATAATAAATTAAATTAGTTTATTTTTGATATAGGATCTCACTTTATAGTCCTGGCTGCCCTCAGCTTGCTATGTAGACCAAGCTGGCCTTGAACTCATAGAGATCTACCTGTTTCTGCCTCCTTAGTGAGGAGATTAAAGACATGTACCATCACAGGTAGCCCCTGTGGTGATTTGAATAGAATTGGTCCCCATTAGCTTCTATATTTAAATGCTTTCTCATTAGGGAGTGGTGCTACTTGACAGTGGTTGGGAGGTATGGCCTTGTTGGAGGAAATATACCACTGGGGGTACCCAGCTTTGAGGTTTCAAATACTCAAGCCAGGCCCAGTGTCTCTCCCTGTCTGTCAGTCTGGATGTAGAATTCTCAGCTAATCTCCAGCCCCTGAAACTGTAAGTCAGTCATAATGAAATGTTTTCCTTTATAAGAGTTGCCGTGGTCATGGTGTCTCTTCACAGCAATAGAACATCGATAAGACAGCCCCTGATAATAAATTATTTAAAAACTACTAAAATTGGACAACAGGTTTCAACTGGCTATGCAAAGCATCAGTAAACTTTGAGATTGCTCAACTGAGTAAAGTTAACAAGAGGAATGCAAGATTTATATACTTAAAACCACAAGAACCAAGAATATCCAAAATGGTCTTGGAGGAACAAAATAGTGTGCATATTCATATGTTCCGATTTTAAAACTTACTACAAAGCTATGACAAAACAGGATGGTAATGGCCTATGTTCAGCCATATAGATCAGTGGAATAGAAGTAAGCCACTGTGCTTATGAGCAGATGAGCTATTTAGTACTTTCTGGTTCTTAAACTTATACCTAGGTTTTGCACAAGCTGGGCAAGTGCTGTACCACTGAGTTACCCTGACCAGCCCTGACCAACTGTTGTTTTAACAAAGGTAGCAATATAGCTTAATGGGGAAAAACAACTATTTCAACAAATGTTACAACTGGATATCCATATGCAAAAAGAGTGAGGTCGAACCATATATAAACATTAACTCTTGATGGATCAAAGATTTAAATGTAACTATGAAACTTTAAGAGTTTGAATACTTTCTTCAAAGACAATGTGCCTGCCATTCAAAACTGTTTGGCATTTAACCAGTTAAACATAGAATAATTGCTACTGTGTGGCCCAGGAACTCCAATCCTGGGTATTCATCTAAAGGAATAAAAATCTCAACTCCCCACAAAAATCTCTGCATGAGTGTTCATAGAAGCATTAATCCCAGTAACCCCAAATCAACTTTGAATAAATAAACAAAATGCGGAATATTTTTTATAATAGACTGTTACTTAAAAGCAGGAATGAAGTATCGATCCACCTACTGTCAGTGGAGAAACCTTGGATAGGTCATACTTTGTGAAGTAAGCCGGACATAGAAGACCACATATTATGTGATCTCACTTATGTGAAATGTCCAGGAATAGGCAAGTCTGCAGATACAGGAAGTGGTTACCAGGGCCTGGGGGAAGGTGTGAGAGGGAAGTGAGTGCTAATTGGTTTGCTGCTTCTTTGGAAGTGATTTGGAAGTGTTCTGGAAACTGGTGATGATGTTGAAACCCTGAGAATGAACTAAAGACCATCGGAGTGAATTTTATGGCCTGTGAATTTTATCTCAATATACATTTTTATTTATACTATGTGCTCTGTAGGTGAGCTGGGGCTGTGGGCCACAATGTGGCTTCATATTCAGCTCTGTTCATAACACAGGCTTTTTCTAACCTATGTAAACTTTAGTCTTCATATTTTGGCAGGGGTGGGGGGCGCTGAGGGAGTGGGGGTTGAAGGGTTGGGGAGGTGGGGGGTGAGGTAGGGACTAGGAATTAAACCCAGGGCCTTGAACTTGCTAAGCATGGGACCATACCCTGAGCTACCCCTCTCCAGCTCAAGTCTCCTCTTCTGAGAACTGGGGTGATAAAACCAATTTTTATGAACACTATGTTATGTGTGATTTGTTTTGGGGAGTGGGGTAGGCTGTTAGAGCAGTATTTTAAGCATTTTAAACAAGATAATTTGCTTTTTCTTGCCTTCCCACCTTCCCTTCCTTCTTCCTTTCTTCCCCTCTTTCCCTCCCTCTTCCTTTGTAGAAAGTACCAATTGCTGCAGGCCCTCATCGGTCCCTCTGGGAAAGACCGCTATCAGGGGACAGAGAGCATCTGTCCTTTCAAGGTCAAAGCCTAAAGTCTCTTAAATTCACCAGAAGAGGGCTGAAGCAGGGCTTGCTGTCTGAGGAACCCTGGGGTTTTGATCTTGTCTCGTCAGTATGTCAAAAGTGGGATCATGATGTGGCTGAGAGCACAGGCTGAGAAGCCAAGAGGCTGAGTTAACCTGCCTGAGTCCTTTGTCTGATTCCTACTACAACACTGCATCTTCAGTAGGATGATAGACAGGCAGGTTTAAAGGAAATAATGCAATATGCCTGCTACAAAGCGAGGCCCTTTCTACCGTAGGGTTTTGTTTGTTGTTAGTTTTTTTTTTACCACCTTGGCAGGTCACTGTG